TTGTAAATGAAAATGGTAGTTTGTTTATGATTTTAAAGGTAGCTACACAGGCATTTTAATAAAAATTACTAAGAAAAAATATTAAAATTTTTAGTTTTCAATTTGTTATATCTCCTAAACCAATTGTTGTGCCCCGATTGCCGAAAGAGGTAACGAGGGCACTCAAGCAGTATTACTGCAATTAGAATAACACTAGCGTAAGCATATTGCGCGATCGAGCCACAAAAGCCCGACCGCGCAACCTAATTAAATTCGGAGAAGAAGTCAGCAAGTTCTCGACCCGATTACGCATAGCCTCGATCGAGTACCGAGAAACCTCGACCGAGTACCGAGAACGCTGACGCTTCGATCATCGGGTTTAAAACCGGAGGAAAGCCCGAGATCGAGGCACTTGTCAATCACGCGTCATTCGATACTATACGTTTACGCGCTAAGCATTTGTCCGTCAGGCCTTTGGCCTGCCGTGAACCATCAGTGTAACACTCAGTTGAATAAAGCTACATAGTGATAGTTAAACGGTGCCTTTTTGAAGTGACCTCCGACCAGCCACATCCCATCAAAGAACCCTTCGGTTCTCGTCAGAGAACACCTCCAGAGCGAGCAAGAAGGAACATACACCGCGCACGGAGCGGCGCGGCAACACAATGCCGTCCCCCACTTGATTCTTGCGGGGAATTACTCAGAAAACTCTCCCCTACAACATATCTAAGTGGCGAGGAAATCGGTGAGGTGTGACCTTTTCTGCATATTTACCAAATTTTTTTTGTATTTTTGTAACGCGCCCATCGAGCGTCACTGAGCCAACCGGACCAGCGAGGGGACCAACGGACGGCGTGGCCGAGAGATGGCGAGAGAAAGAGAGCTGAGGGGCGAGAGCGCGAGGAGGCCAGCGAGCGGCGGCCGCGGGGAAGCCGAAGGGCCAGACGGCGAAAGGGGCGAGTCGAGGGGAGAGGACGAGAGGCGCCGACGGGCGGTGAACACCGAGGAGCCGAGCCGCCCTGGGTGCAGGGGGCCCGAACACGCGGAGCCGCGCCCGAAGGGCAGGGGACGAGGCGCCGGCAGGACTGCCCGCCGAGGGGCGAGCACGGGCGGAGGTTCCCCGGAGGCCCTAAGGACCGGCGAAGCCAGAGGGCCAACGCGCCGGAGAGCGGGCCCAGGATCGACCACCCCGGCCCTGCGAATCGCGCGGGGCGAATTTCGCACCCGGAAGCGCGCGGACAGCGATAGCGCCCCTGCGAGCCCGGCGACACGCCGGGCGAGCGGCCCACGGATTGGCGGATCCGCGGCGCCGCTATCTCGCGCAGCCCCTTTTCGCGATCGTAACGAGCGATCGGGTGATCGACCCGCTCGCGCAGGATCTTCCGCTTTCGTTCGCGGATCCTCGATCCGATAGCTTCGCGTGGAAAAGGGCGTTTTGAGTCGGCGATACCGGGGCCGATCACGTGCCGAGGCCGTGGCCAGATACCGAGGAGGAACGTGCCGACCGGGACCGCGCCGTGGGACCCAAGGAGCATACCGGTGAGGTGGCCCTCGAGGGATAAAGACTGATGTAAAAGCCGCGTGCATCCGAGGGGGTTAGCTCGCGTTCTGGCATCGCGCCGCGTTCGTTTAGTGTTTCGGGCTACCGGGCGTCCGCTCCCAGGGGGAGTCGGAGCCGGCCATTTCGTGTCGCAAGCGGATCGGCGGTGCCAAGCGCGGGAGCTCCCGGGGAACGGCCGTGGGCTTATCGGGCGACCGTAGCGGGCGGGTATCGGGTATTGCGACCTCGGAGGGGAGCGTAGAACGGACGCCCCGGGCGCCGTTGTTCGAGCGGGCGTCTTTTCTGCCTGCACCGGGAAATTCTTTCGCGGCGGACCGGCACGCCGAGTGTCGGCCGCGGATCGCGTGTTGCGAGCGCGAACCGCCTCCCACAGGGAGGCTCGAGAGACCGACGAGAAATCGCGAAATCGTCTCGGCGGAGGCCCTCGCCTATTCTTTTCTTTTCGTTTCTGTACTCCACCTATTAAACCGTCCATTATATTCTTGTAACCCGAGTTACGATCATTTTAGAGTATTCGTCTGCGTGTGTGTGTGTGTGTCGCGTCCCGTTCCGACGTCCCGTTCCCGCGGGCCCGTAATTACGGGACCCTGCCACTCTGCCGACGGTAAAGAGCAGCCGGCTCCTTTTGGCGTCGAGGAGGCTAAATCGCGGCGTTCACCGAGCGGATCGACGCCGTTTTCATCCGGGGAACTGGTGTGTCTCGCGACTAGTAATTGACGCCGCCCGCGAGCGCGTCTGGCGCCCAACTTGGCCGTGTTAGCGCCCGTTCCGGGGATTCGCCCGGAACAGCGACGGCAGCGTATCGTTCGCGTGAGCCGCCTCTTTCTTCGTCGCGCTCGGCGAATACCGAAAAACGCGTGACAGTGTATATGACCCTCAAAAACAATCGTTTTTAATGGTCAAGATACCAACCTAACTATTTAGGGCCTTAAAAGTCCCCAAATTGAAACTTCGATTTTGGGGGTTTTGACCACGTTTTTGGCAATTGGGACCACTGTGCGGCGGCGTCATCGGGCCGTATTTTTTCAAGGACATTTTGGACAACACGGTGACTGTGACTGGTGAGCGCTACCGAGAGATGTTGAATGAGTTTTTATTGCCGGAATTGGACGAGCAGGGTCTGGAAGACATATGGTTTCAACAAGACGGTGCCACCGCACACACAGCCCGAGCGACGATGGACATTCTGAAGGAGACATTTCCGGGCCGCCTCATATCGCATTTCGGCGATATGCACTGGCCCGCAAGATCGCCCGATTTGACTGTTCCTGACTTTTTTCTTTGGGGTTTTTTGAAGTCGCGGGTCTATGCGAACAAGCCACAGGCTCTGGCAGCCCTTAAAGAGAACATCCGACATGAAGCGGCCAACATATCGCCCGACGTTCTCAAAAAAGCCATGGAAAATGCTATAAAAAGGGCCCAAATGGTAATCAACAATGGCGTCGGTCACTTGACCGATATCATTTTCAAATCTTGATGTAATAAAACTTAAAAGACCAAATAATGTTTTAAAGAAAATCGCATCGAAATATTTCGTTTCATTTACAAATTATAACCAAACAACATCGGATGATTACTTTTGGCCCACCTTGTATATGCATGTGTCGCATGCAGTATGCTCCCATACTTTCGCAGATCGTCTTCCGTGTATACTTTATCATTTGGAATTCTCTTGAAAATTAGTTCGTAGAGACCGGGTGTGCCTTTGTATCGCACGCCATCGACAAGTATGTTATCATCGATGTCCACTTCGAAATGTTTATCACCAAGCAACAGTTTATCCTTGCCAACATGAACACCGTACACGAAATCTATATCATTCTTTACACCACTCTTTTGAGAAGATGATCCACGTAAGACAGCCTCGATATATTTTTTACTCAGCTGACCCAGGTGCTGCAATGCTTTTTGACCCGTTTCCGTTTGTATCTCGCGTTCAGTGAATACAGCGAGCGGTTCACCGGTGTTTTCGAAAACATCTTCGAGTTCGAAAGGTTTGTCGATCGGTGTCGCCGCCGCCGCCTCCTCCATCGTTGCTGGATGTATGGTATAGCACGTGGCGTAGATGTTATCAACTGTGCTTCCGGTGTAGACAATGCATCGTATAATTTTATACTGTTTTGGCTCGAAGGAAACAATTAACGAACTATTCACTCGTTTTCTATCCTTTGTCTTTCTCCGTATAGGATCTTTCTCACGCTTGTAGTCATATGTCGTTTCAATCGCCTCCAAATCATCATCATCCGGTTCGTCTTTAATCGCACGCATCCCGCTGGAGTTGTCAACGATTTTTTGCAACGGCTCAATGATTGGTTTAAAACGAGTCTTCACCGCAATATCGTCCTCGATGTTACTAGTCTTCAAAGCGCGATATTCTTGCGAATTGATTCACTCGTTTTTTTAATCTCTCTAACAATCTTTTCACGCTTGTTAATATCATCGTTCCCAGCCATGCTGACTGCTCGCTTTTCGCCTCAACGGAATACAGGCAACGACTAACCGTTTTGTGGTACAGCAAACACGTTAAATCCCTTTCTATATCGCCCATTAGAAAGCGGA